CTTAATACTGTGCCTGGTTTTCTACAATGTTCTTGTCTAGGATAGTGTCCATGGCTCCCCTTTTCTCCCCATGCTGAAGCCACAGCCCACAGCACCATCCAAGTCCAGGCCAGGTTCTGTATCCCTACTCACAACCTAGACAAAGACTGAGGCTCCCATTCCTCCCAAATCTCCATTTGCTCTGAAAGGAATTTAGTAGCACTTGTGAGTTTCATAGTATGAATTAGTTCGCTGGTATTTGGTCACCATGGGTGAACTATCTCATAGTTTCTGCACTAGCAAAGCCTGCACTAGATCCTGATATTATAGATATTATCAGAAAATGGGAAAATGTAACACCCACACCAAAACTGCCAGGGAGCCCTAAGCCCATCACCGTACTACAGAGGACACAACTGCGAGAAGCCTCAGGGAGACAATTTTGGTTGGCCTAATGGTGCAGCGCTTGAGGTGCCAATTGGTACAAGGGACAGACAAATAACATTCTGCAAATGGACCAAAGCCAGAAACCAATGAACAATTTTCAGATGCGAGCAGCATACAAAGTACCTTACACATTGCTCTCTTCCAGTGCTGCATTTGTAGGCAGTGGTTTACTGCCAGCAGCAGCAGCATCTTTATAAAGAACTGGAGTGAAACATATAGCTAATTATATTTTACATGATTTCCCAAAGCTACTATAGACAGAAATCATTTTGTAATCCTTGCCATCACTGCAGAGCCAATGTGTAAGGGATAATCTAAAAACTAACCTAGATCTTCCACGATCAACATTTTATTATTAAATTGAAATAAAAATACTGTAAATAGCAAACTTCATAGTCTTGTTCCCTTTCTTAGGAAGGCCAATTTAAATAAGTAAGCTGAGTAATGTAGACAAAAAATGGAAGGTATCTGGCATGCTTATGTTCACATTCCCTTTTGCCAATTGCTCCCTGCAGTTTTTACCAACACAGTCTTCATGAGGACTCAGAATTCTTATTAATATCTAATACCAGGGAGCCACTACCAATTCAATAGAATTGGCAAGAGTGTAAATGTATTGGCCACCCCTGTCCTAGATAGCTAATATGTATCTTCTACCTCCAAAACTGGAAAATAACTTTTTTTCAGCATATAAGACTCAGTGCTAATGGCAGCTGGTGGTGTTGTCTTTCCAACTTCTAGGCCGGGAGATCCAAAGATACAGGCTCCATATGTGATAACTCTATCTGAAAATGTAAAGGCTAAAGGTCAAGATATACAGACTTCCTACTTCAATTACAGTCCTTGGACCAGCAACACCAGCAGCACCAGGAAGTTCTTAGCAATGCAGAAGCTCAGCCCCCTTCCCAGACTTACTGAATTGGAATCTTCACTTAAAGATCCACAGGTGAGTCATACACACCTTAATGTTTGACTACACTAAAGGACACAGAACAAAACACATTTTTTTCTCTCCAGATAGCCTGACTTTCACACAGGTAAAAATCAACACTCTGGATTTAGCAACATAGTTTTTGGTCTAACTATATGCAAACTGTCTATCCTTTTTATTTGAATATACATAGGGTATGATATTCTAATATCTAAGAACCAATGCACAAATTAAGGTCCAATGATAAGAAGTACGCTATTAGAGTTCATAATAATTAAGAATTTTGCAAATGTCTTTTCACTTAATACTACAAACATTTCACAGAAGTATCACATTATAACAGAAGAAAACATGGCTAACACATGTATCTAAGGGAATGTTAGTTTTAAAAAAGGAGAAAAGAGAAAGAAATCTATGCATCCACCTTTCTGTTTTTACTTACTTAACTACGTTTAGTTTATTTAAAAAAAAAAAGTTAAAAACCATACAGTAAATTCAAAAAAAGGAAAACTTCAATTTAACTAAAGTTATCAGTGAACATTACTATTGCAGTGAAAGGCTAGATGGAAATGTTACTTAAGGAGACAGCAGCCTGGTACAGTGGCTCATGTCTGTAATCCCAGCACTTTCAGAGGCCAAGGCGGTAGGATCCCTTGAGCACAGGAGTTTGAAATCAATCTGAGAAACAGAGTGAGACCCCCATCTCTACCAAAAAAAATAATAATAATATAAAAACTAGCTGGGCATATAGCTGCAAACCTGTAGACTGAGCTACTCAGGAAGCTGAGGTGGGAAGATCCTCAAGCCTAGGAGCTTGAAGCTGCAGTGAGTGATCATCATACCACTGCACTCCAGCCTTGGTAGCAGAGCAAGACCTCATCTCTAAAAACTAATAATAATAATTATTATTATTATTACTATTAGATGGAGTCTCGCTGTCACCAGGCTGGAGTGCAGTGGTTTCATCTTGGCTCACTACAATCGCTGCTTCCTAGGTTCAAGTGATTCTCCTACTTCCGCCTCCCGAGTAGCTGGGATTACAGGTACACACTGCCATATTCAGCTAATGTTTTTATTTTTAGTAGATAGGGGGTTTCACCAGGTTGGCCAGGATGGTCTCAATCTCCTGACCTCATGATCCACCTGCCTTGGCCTCCTAAGTTCTGAGATTACAGGCATGAGCCACTGCACCCAGCCATAATTAACAAATTTTTTTAAAGACAGCATGAATCTTAGATAAGGGCATCAGTCTAGTGTGATACTCATATTTCAGGATCTAGAGTCCTTAATTTTGAAGTTTCAAAAAGAAATGACTTTGGGACTCCAACCAGAGCTGATTAGCTTCACAGAACTGGCTCAAACTTACTCAACTCTCTGAAATTGTTGCTGGGGGCAGGAGAGACCTATTAACTGGCCAGTAAACTTACACCCGCCATCTAAAAAGCCAAAACCTTAATATTAGAATGCCTACAGAGAGGAAATAATCAAAAGATAGAGGAGCCAGGTGTCCACGTAAAGGAAGGTATGTAACAAAAACAATACCACGAGGGCTCCACTTTCCTAGGGTCCATGTATTCCATTACTCTTCCTTGAACAAAGTCTCTTTTGACAAATAACAAAATCAATTAACCTTTAGCTTTCCTAGTACAAATTCATTCTGGCCTTCAATTGTAACTGGACAGTCCTAAATGTCCACAGTCACACATTGATAGGTAGCCCCTCCCCACTACAACAATTGAAAACCTCACCCAAGTTGTGTTGATTTCTAATAGATTTATTCACAAAAGACAACCAATCTTCTTTCTAAGTTCTGGAGATACCTACTTGAGCCTTTACATATCACATAGCTAAAATCTCGCCTTGTATTTTATAAAGCTGCAAATATTTTTCTAATGATGAGTTCTAGAGAGGATTCATGTACTCCATAACACAACTGCTTAATGTTCTGACAACAGCTAAGATAAGAACAATGTCATGTATGTTTGTATCTCACATTGTTGAAGTTTAAAACATAAAAGCAAAGATATTGTGAGGTTTCTTAGAAGAGAAATAAGTGGCACTGCTACAGCTAGGCAATTACAGAGAAGGGGTGTTGCAGAGGTGAGAATTATTTTTCCTGAACACAGTGTCTAAACCATTATAAAGGACATGGTACCTTTATCAATGCCCCCACCCACCTACCCAAGGTGGATCCTGGCTGTTTCCGGTAGGGACATTAGTAATGTAGGTTGGATGTGTACTGAGCCTGAGTCAGGACAGGTTAATCCATATTCTTCACATTTGAGTGTTTAAAAAGCAGAAAAGTGAGAGATTTCCTAAAGAATTCAACTTGTTTCAAACTCTTTCTTAATATTGCTAGCTCATTGTCTAATATACTAGGAGAATCTGTTCAGTCACAAATAAGGGCAAGTCCAGGACAAATGTAGATTAGAAGTGACTGAGTATATGTACGAAGCAGAGGACATCAGATTTCTGATTCATTTGTGCATATTATAACTTTTATTTACTCACCAAGGTAGCTCAATTTAATTACCTGAAAGTAAAGACTTTAGACCAAATGAAGTCTCACTTTGGCAACTATCATGATTGCCTTAAGAAACAATGTCAAATAACATTTCACAGGCAACTCTTAATTACCCATGTGAAGAGAGCCCAGGGATACAAGAATAACTGGTATTCACAAGTAATTCTCAAATTTAATTTCAACTAAGAGTTGAAATGACTAAACTTCTTCCCTCAGCATGGTATATAGCAAAATTGATTGGTTAAATGCTTTAACTGTGTATCCCCTGACTACTCTTTCATTAAAATAGAGAATAGTAGTCAATCAAAGAAAGAAGAAAAGCAAATGGGTTTGATAATTCACAAAATGGATAGTAAAATCCTAAAAAGTTTCAGTTGTTTATATGTGTTAAAGTTCAAATAAGTGTGATTATTTGAAGAAGTCTTTGTAAGACAGGTTTGCAAACTGCTACATCTTGGCAGGTGTGACTCAGTGATCTCCCTGCAAATTAAGTAAACCTGATTTTCACTGCTAAGTTTTGTTGTTAGACTCCTATTTCATAAAGATATTTGCAAAAAGTTACCTCATTGTGTCAATCTCATATTAACGATTAAACTGTTTCCATGGAAATCATTTTAATGCAAACCAAATGACAAGATGCCTGGTTACCATTCAGTAGCCAGGACACTGGATATAGATAAGCTTCCAAAGAATTGTGAAAAATTGTTGTTTAACTTAAAGAGGAATATAACTAGAAAAGACAGCCTGTTAGATTTATGAAAACAGTTTAAAACCTCATGTATGACACTAAAGCACCCATATATTTCTTACAAATTGATTTCAAGTGATTCGAATTTCTATTCCTGTAAAAGTCATTTTTGCACCCAATAAAATACTACCTATTTTCTTTAATCTTTCAACTAAATTCTTCAAAGCTCTCTGTAGTATGGATGTGTACTGAGCCTGAGTCAGGACAGGTTAATCGGCTTTCAAAGCTCACAAAATGAATCATTGCTGGATTTCGGAAATCTTGAATTAAAGCTGGGTAGGATTATAGTTGATCAAAAAAATAAGATTTGGCAGATTTTGGAGTTTCCTTGATATCTTTAAGAACTGAACAGATAATCATCTCTTTCTTACCTGCCTGAATAAAGGAGTTAGTCTTTTTCTCAGGAACTCTCCCGGTCTCCCTAGTACAGATTAATCTATATAACTAGAGGAAGGGAGTTCTAAAGCCTTACACAGGAAATAGTGGACCTAATTATCCACACATGGTATTCAATTTTTCTGGGACTTCCGACAAAAATCGCTCATCACTATCTGCTTTCTTCCTAATATCTCCTAGCTTTGTACCTCACCAGCTCATTATTTACTTGCTCAAGAAAAAAAAAAAAAAAAAAAAAAAAAAAAACTATTCTATTATTATTAATTAGGCAAACTTGAAACTACCCAGGAAGATGATGCTATCGAAACTAGGCATTTAAGCACTGAATAACTGGACCATCGAACAGGACCATGGGTTGGGTATTCTGAGCTTCAGCTCCTTAAAGTCCAGTGGCAGAGGTCTTTCCCTAGTCTCTTAACATTCCCCCATTTAATTTGTTGCGACGGCTGTCTGAAAGATTGAGGGCTTATTTAGAAAAGCCATTATCTGAAAGGAGGGTTGAAGCAACTTTTTTTCTGCTGTCTTAACATAAAAAGCAAGTCTCCAATCAAAATTTGAGTGGTTACTAAGTATGAGGCCTTGGAAGGTTTCCCAACTCTTCTAACAACAGGTACGGGACACTTTGTACTAAGGGCGAGAATTCAGTGAGTAGCTCTCAGGGAGACCGTGGTGGCAAAGACCTTGACGTCCAACACAGGCTCGTCCAGCACGGTGGATCCAAGCCTCAAAAGGTGCCCTCAGTGGGAGGCCCTCGCCTTCGTCCCAACACCCATAACCCGCCAGCGCAGCGGGCCGTGCCTCCACGGGAAGGATACGCTCCAAGTAGTAGGCGCCCTCGGCGGCCACCGCATCCGCCGTATCCCTGGCGTCCCCGGTTGCCGTCAAACCCATGCCCAACGCCTCTTCCAGGACTCTCTGAGCGGAGCTGGGCATCCCTCGCTGAGCCATCTCTGGCGCTCCGGTTCCCCGCGACCGGCAGGCCCACAGCGGTCCCTAAGGGCAACAGCGAAAACGCTGCCCGACGGCCCCAGGCAGCTCTCGCGAGATCCCGAAATCCCTCACCCCCGCCCCGCGGACCAGCCCCGGGCACTGAAAGGTTGCGGGGAATCCAAGGAGCTGGCGCCGTCCAGCGCCTCCTGGTTACCGTGGCAACAATGTTGCCTAGTTAACGCTTGAGCGGGGGCGCAGCTCTCAGAGCGGACAAGATACAAGGAACAATTGGCTTGCAATGCCCCTTCTTATCCAGGCAGCTTGGTTTTCTTTCGCTTTGACACTATCGTTTCTTTCACATTTCGTTGTCGTCTTTGAATTACCTTTCTCTTGATTCTTTTGCCCATTTGCAATCCTCTAATTTCAGATGTTTGTAGATCCCCAAGTGTTTCCAGGGAAAAATACCAGAAAAGGGGAAGTTATTTTGAATTACTGTAATAAAATAAATAAGTTATATTCATTTTTAAAAAAGGAAAGGGGAAGTTCTAAACACCTGAAATTTTTTATTTAATGAAAAAATAAGTCCTAAAAATCAAATTGAGAGACTGACCCAAGGGAGCTACCGGAAGCTCCTCTGACACTTAGCAATCAAGATCTCTGGTGTTCAGCTTTGTCAGTTCCTTTCTTGTAATCTTTAATGCATTTATCTGGACATGTGTTTTGAGTTTGGTTCCATATACTGAGACTTGGAATAGTATTTGTAGCATTGATTCTCACCAAGGTAAAAACAGTTGCATAAAACTTATGCGCTACAAATTTGGTCCTAACAAATGTATATAGTTGACACTTGCCTGATCATGTGTAATCCTATTGCTATGAGAGGATCTTCCTCAGGTTATATTGCACATGTATCAGAAGCAAATTCAAGGCCCCTTTCCTTGCAAATATTTTTTTTTTTTCCTTAATTTTTATTTTAGGTTCAGGGGTACATGTGCAGGTAAACTTGTGTAGCAGAGTCTGGTGTACAGCTCATTTTGTCACCCAAGTGCTAAGTGTAGTACCCAATAGTTATTTTTCCTGATCTTCTCCCTCCTCCCACTTTCCTCTTCAAGTAGGCCCCAGTGTCTTGTTCCCTCTTTGTGTCCGTTTGTTCTCATTATTTAGCTCCCACTTACAAGTAAGAACATGCAGTATTTGGTTTTCTGTTCCTGCATAACTTTGCTAAAGATAATGGCCTCCAGCTCCATCCATGAGAGGATACGATCTCATTCTTTTATGGCTGCATAGTATTCCATGGTATATATATACCACATTTTCTTTATCCAGTACGTTTATGGGCATTTAAGTTGATTCCATGTCTTTGTTATTGTGAATAGCAATAAACATGCATGTGCAATGTGTCTTTATGGTAGAACAATTTCTATTCCTTTGGATATATACCTAGTAATAGGATTGCTAAGTCGAATGGTATTATTTTTCATTTTGTATTTCTTGATGAAAACTGGAAGCCCGTGATCCTCTAAAAGCTCCCATTTATTACCAAAAGATAGCAGTAACTTGCTAAGGTATTTGAGAGTGCAGGTGTCAGAGCCAGAGAGACAGCTTTTCAGAGCCTGCTTCCATCACTTACTAGCTATGACACATTGGGCAAACTATTACTTAAGGCCTCTAGGCCCTAGTTTCATCATTTGTAAAATGAAGACAACAATATTACCTACCTCAAAGTGCTGTTGCAAAGGGTAAAGCAACATAAAGCATTAAGAACTTACAGGAACACAGAAGACACTAAGAAATGTGAGCTGTTATTTCTATTACATTTGTTTGATTTTGTTTTATTTTTAGAATAATTAAGGGTTACAAGTAGACATAATAGTCGGATAATTCATTCCTGGTACCTATTCTTTTGCTACCCTACTCTTTGTCCTTGACTTCTCACATCAGACATTTCCTGAGTACTCATTAAATTCCAGGAACAATCACAGGAGGCTGAAAATACAGGAGAAGAATTCTGACATTGGAGAATCTGCCGCTTTTATAGAAAGGCTGCTCTTTGTTTCAGAAGAAGCCATTACCTCATCTCTCCAGGTTGTTTCCTGTAAATCCAGCCTTAACAAATGACCTGAGTAAGTAGTGGTCAAGGCCTTACATTTTTGGCAGATCCAACAAGACACGTAGGAACATAAAAGACATGGAGGAGGGTCTCTCAGAACAGTTGCTGTGTAGTTTGATTTGTTTTTGTCTGTAACAATGGCTCATCCATTTATTGCTTTATGGATGTAGTATGTCATCTTCTACAGATATGTTTGTCTCCTGCCTCTTCTGTATGACCTTAATTAAGTTCTCTGAGCCTTAGTATCCTGTTCTGTAAACCAGAGATTTTAATACCTAACTTACTAAAATATAAAGAGTAAATGAAATATGTAAAAAGCACTTATTACCATGTCTGGTATATCAAATATTTTCAGTAAGTAATCGTTAATAAAATTTGCTTAAAATGTTGAATGAATATGCAACCCCAATTGTAATCATACTTATAAGAAACTTAAACATATAGAAACAGTTTAAGATAAAACTTAAATATTTTCAGGAACATTCAGCACTCAAACAAGGGAAAGAGTTTAATAGAGTCAAAATTAATAAATTCTGACCTATATCCCCTGCTTAAAGTAGAGGATAAATGGGGAAAAAATTCTTCTCCAAAGAGTTCAACAAAAGAAGACTTGTAACTGAAAGAAGTATCATTAACTACACTCCTCAAAAAACATAAAAACCTGTAAGTCTAATTCTATGAAGTTTTCAAGTAGCCAAGGTTTTAATTCAGAGTCACTAATTTGATTATATCCATTTCATGGATTTCAGAATTGGAAGTCACCCAAGATATGTATGGTTCAACTACAATTTGAAACACATTTCACAGTCACCTAAGCAGCAGTGGTTTTAAAAGTTCCAATTAGAACCCACATTAACATTTTATTTTGTAAACCTTTTGGTCTCTACAATGGTCTAAAAAGCAATGAAATAAAAGCAAAAAATAAATTTAACAAATATAAATGGAACCAATAATTGCCTTCAGATAAAAACATGATACAACCTTTTAGGAGGACAGCTAATATCTTAAAACTAGTATGGATTTTCAAGGAACAAATCTGAAAATAAATGTGTTACATTTGAATTCTTATTCTGTTAGTAGCTAGTTTAATTAAAAAGAAGTGGGAAAGCTTTGCTAAAACAAAAACTTCATACCACAGTAATTGTGTTACAATCCCTTTCCATCCTATAGTATTTCCTTTTTAATATACTTTACAAACTTCCTTGAAGTAGGAAAAAACAGTACCTTAATATTTTGATGAATGAACAGCAAACTATCTACTTTCCCTTTGAATGTGTTACTGAAAAAGTTAAATAAAGAAAACCAATGAAGACAGTAAAAATAAAGCAACAACTACAAAGAACAACAAATTTTATCTCCTCGCAGCCTAAATGCTCCATTTGTGTAAAAGTGAAATTATTTTTAAAAGCAAAACCAGAAAGGAAGGTGACAATGGATGTGCTCTTTGCATTTGCAGATTTAAAGCAGAAAATAATCACATGCAATAATATAGTAAAGTACCATTCCATTTTCAGAAGTTACAAGCATTCATTTGCTATAGATAGAGTCCAGGCCATTTACTGATGCATCTTTTTATAAAAGTAACTATCTTATTTTCTTTCAAAACTTCACAGTAAGTGGTAGCCAATTTTAGATTTCTGGATTCACAGAAGTAGTAGTAATTGGCTATGGTAGAAAATTATCATTTCAAACATACAGAATATATATTTCACTTTTTCACTAACAACCACTTGAAAACTTATTTCTCTAATGTTCTGAGCCCATGTAGTTCAAACAGGGTCAATTCTCTGTCTCTGGCAAGGAACATATGTCCCAGGTTTAACCCAAAAGAATATCTCATTATTCTTGGCTACTGTGGTCAGTACTGAAGTTGGCATGTGTCTTAAAAGGAGCCAAATTAGATTTGGTAAGAAATTTTGGAGATTTGTGGAGATTCTTATTCTGCCCCTTGGGACTTAGTTCTGGAGTTGCTACACCATCATTGCAAGTATGAAGAAATTATCTGTCTAAGAATTGAATCAGCATGTAAGACCCAAGTGGAGAAACAGAAAACTTGAGCCCAGATGCCATCACTTGAACCTCTAGTACACACACATATATTTCTTTGCTCTGTCAGTTGAGAGGGCCTAGAAGCAACAACATCCCCATAACAATGAGCATTTCAGATTTTAGTTTTTAATACCATTTTTGAATGAAAAGGTTAGAGGGCTCCTTGGAGAAATGGCTGGTTTTAGGGCTGGACTGGGAATAAACAAGATGAGCCTGGAGGATCTTTAGTTCCAGAAATTAAAAAAGATCCCACCTACAAAAAAAAATTTTTGCATAGATCAAAGGAACACTGCAGCCAGTTGTCCTAGGTGATGGTAGGACAATTTGAGCAACCAAATTAATAAAGTATTACTGAAGTGTAATTCAAAGTATAAAATAAGTGTCTAAGTCCATACTGATATAAATAAATGACTAAATGACGGGTAAATGAATGGAGAAGAATGGGCAAATCTCCTGTGAAGAATAGTTTTAAATAATTTATGTAGATACTCTGCATTCCAGCAGATCAAGCATAGCTGCACATTCCCTAAGTATAGACTACACATAGTGAGTTCCTCATGTAGTTAAATCATGGGACTGATTCACTACCACAAGAACAGTATGGGGGAAACCACCCCCATGATTCAATTATCTCCCACTGGGTTCCTCCCACAACATGTGGGAATTATGGGAGTATAATCCAAGATGAGATTTGGGTGGGGATGCAGCCAAACAATATCA